GAAACATTTCATTAGAGAAGAACCCATCGAGAAGACCTATACAATTTTTTTCTTTTTGATTTTTTACCTGGATTACTGAGATGCATCAGGACAAGTTTTATTAATATTTATCAGGTAGAAGGAGGTGGATTGGGTAACATTTCTAATGATGGATTAAGTCTTGACAAAATGGTAACGAACAAAACTTGCTCAGATTAAAGTTATAGTTCAGCTCTTTTGAAGTTCCATCCATCCATCCATCCATCCATCCATCCATCTGCTTCCGCTTATCTGTAGTTGAGTCACAGAGGCAACAGGTCAGGGTGAGAAACCCTGACATCCCTCTCCCCAGCGACACTTTGCAGCTCGTCCTGGGGGACCCCTGAGATGTTCCCAGGCCAGAGAGGGTACATAATCCCTCCAGCGAGTCCTGGGTCTTACAGTGGGACGTGCCCGGAACACCTCTAAAGGGAGGCATCCTAATCAGATGCCCGAACCACCTCAACTGACTCCTTTCAATGTGGAGGAGCAGCGGCTTACTCCGAACTCCCAAATGACGGAGCTCCTCACCCTATCTCTAAGGCTGAGCCCAGCCAGCCTATGAAGGAAGCTCATTTCAGCCGCTCGTATCCGGGATCTTGTTCTTTTGGTCATAATCCAYGCCTCATGACCAAAGGTGAGGGTTGGAATGAAGACAGACCAGTAAATCGAGAGCTTTGCCTTTCGACTCAGCTCTTTCTTCACCACGACTGACCAAAGTAACACCCTCATTACTGAGGACGAGGCCCCAATCTGTCGATCCATCTCCTGCACCTTCCTACCATCACTCGTGAACAAGACACCCAGACACTTAAACTCCTCCACTTGAGGCAAAGACTCTCCCCTGACCCAATCTTTTGAAGTTAGACAATACAGTGGTTAGGCAATAAAACCTGGTTTTAGACCATAACATCCCTTTCAGACAGCTTCCTCTTGCGTCCACAGTTAATCCTGTTGGATGTGGTTCGTCCTTCTTGGTGGTATGCTGACATTACCCTGGATACTGTGGCTCTTGATACATCACAAAGACTTGCTGTCTTGGTCACAGATGCACCAGCAAGACGTGCACCAACAATTTGTCCTCTTTTGAACTCTTGCAATATTTTGAGCAAAACTGTGCTCTTACCCTGCTAATTGAACCTTCACACTCTGCTCTTACTTGTGCAATGTGAAAATAATGAAGACTGGCCACCAGGCTGGTCCAATTTAGCCATGAAATCTCCCATACTAAAATGACAGGTGTTTCATTTTCATTGTCTAAGTAACCCCTGTATATTATTATCTTGGTTCCACTTTCTTTTTATTCTAATTATTATTAACCTTTATGGTTAGTAGTGGGCACCAGCCCACTAATCTGCTAATTGCGGACCTAAATGTTTCATTTGCGCTTTAGCAGTCTTACTAATTTTTATAATTCATAAGCAGATTTGCACTTTCTAATATTAAAATGCAGTACCACTAATAACTAATTATCTACCAGTCATCATTTTCTTGAACAGCGGAAGGTATGGCTGTCAATGAATCACAACGTGATCTAGCCAACAGCTCCCCTCCCAGATTAACACACTTATTGGAAAGGTATACATCCTTGCTGACTGTTGCTTTGAGTCACGGTTCTCATTTCCAACCATGCTTTGTGTCTGCTTACGTAGCAGGAAGGCAATGTTTAGAACTCCCTGTCCCAGCTAAAACAGTTAACGTTTGAAATACTTAATAATATTTTGTATGCATTGATTTATTTTACTTTACAATC